GAACTCAAGTGATCCACCCGCCTCAGCCTCCCAAAGTGCTGGGATTACAGGCGTGAGCCATTGAGCCTGCCCAAACTGGGTGTTTTTAAAATTTTGTAGAAAACTAATAATCGAGTGTGCCTGTGTTCCAACTGGTTGGTTTCCCATGTGTGTGGCCTCCAGGGGCACTCTAAGAGTGGCCAGCAGGGACTTGGGGTTCCCCCAGTCTGGGTCAGGGGTCCTCAAAACACCGGGTCTCGCTGCTGCCTGCAGTTCCGAGGTCTCCCGGAAGGTGGAGCGCTGCAGTTGGGACCCGAAGCCAGACGCCTCCGACCAGGCCCCGGGACCCATCCAGCCGTGCATGGGTCAAGAATGTCCCTGGGGACACGCCTGGGGCTGGGGCCAGTGCGTCTGGAGCCTTTTATGGGCACAAACGTCGCCCTGGCATCGTTCCAGTCAAGAATGCAGACCCCCGTGGGAGGGCCTGTGGGCCTAGCTAGACCCATCTGGAGGGGCCAGATACTAGGCCAGGGCCTCCTGGGGCCTGAAGCTTAGGCTAATGTACTGGCTTTAGACACTGGGACAAGGTACTCACTGTCTGGAATTTCCTCATCTCTCTAATGGGGATTAAGAAACCTACCTTGCAAGGTTGCTGAAAGGCTGAAAAATAGGTGTGTCCCAGACCTGTACAGAAGACTAGCCAGGCAAAATGAATTCTTATTTTAGGCCAGGTGTGGAGGCTAACACCTGTATCCTAGCACTGTGGCTTTGTTGTTGTTGCTGTTTTCTGAGTCGCATTCTTGCACTGTGGCCCAGGCTGGAGTGCAGTGGCGCAATCTCAACTTACTGCAACCTCCAGCCTCCCGGGTTCAAGTGATTCTCCCGCCTCAGACTCCTGAGTAACTGGTACTACAGGTGTGCGCCTCCATGCCCAGCTAATTTTCTTTTTTTAAGTAGAGGCGGAGTTTCACCATGTTGGCCAGGCTGGTCTCAAACTCCTGACCTCTAGAGATCTGCCTGCCTCGGCCTCCCAAAGTGCTGGGATTACAGGGTGAGCCACCATGCCCAGCCTATATCCTAGCACTTTGGGAGACCAAGGCAGGTTGCTTGAGCCCAGGAGTTTGAGACCAGCCTGAGCAACATAGCGAGAAATCATCTCTAGGAAAAAATTCAAAACATTAGTTTGGTATCGTGCACCAGTAGCCCCAGCTACTGGGGGACTGAAGCAAGGGGATCACTTGAGCCCAGGTGTTTAAGGCTGCAGTGAGATGCAATTATCCCAGTGCACTCCAGCCTGGGCAACGGAGCAAGATCCTGTCTCAAAAAGAAACCAAAAAAGGGGTGGGTGCGGTGGCTCACGCCTGTAATCCCCATACTTTGGGAGGCCAAGGTGGGCATATCACAGGTCAGGAGTTGAAGACCAGCCTGACCAATATGGTAAAACCCCATCTCTACTAAAGATACAAAAATTAGCCGGGCATGGTGGCACATGCCTACTCGGAAGGCTAAGGCAGGAAAATCACTTGAACCTGCAAGGTGGAGATTGCAGTGAGCCGAGATCATGCCATTGCACTCCAGCCTGGGCAACAAGAGCGAAACTCCATCTCAAAAAAAAAAAAAAGCTGGGTGTGGTATCTCACACCTGTAATCCCAGCACTTTGTGGGGGCAAGGAAGATGGATCATGAGGTCAGGAGTTCAAGACCAGCCTGGCCAAGATGATGAAACCCCATCTCTACTACAATACAAAAATTAGCTGGGTGTGATGGTGGGTGCCTGTAATCCCAGCTACTCAGGAGGCTCAGGCAGAGAATTGCTTGAACTGGGAAGGCAGAAGTTGCAATGAGCCGAGATCACGCCACTGCACTCTAGCCTGGGTGAAGAAGTGAGACTCTGTCTCAAGGAATAAAAAAGAAACCAAATAACCTCTTATTTTGTTTTCTTGAGACAGGATTTCACTTGTCACCCAGGCTGGAGTGCAGTGATCCAAAAATAGCTCACTGCAGCCTTGAACTTTTGGGTTCCGGAAATCCTCCTCCCTCAGCCTCCCCAGTAGCTGTGACTATAAGTAACCACAACTACCTACCTAAATTTTTAAGGTTTTTGTAGAAATGAGGTCTCACTATGTTGCTCTAGCTGGTCTCAAACTCTTGGCCTCAAGCGATCCTCCTGCTTCAGCCTCCCAAAGTTTTGGGATTACAGGTGTGAGCCACTGTGTCTGGCCTAATAGTTATCTTTTTTTTTTTTTCTTTTCTGAGACCCAGTCACACCTGGCTAATTTTTGTATTTTTAGTAGAGATGGGGTTTTACCATGTTGGCCAGGCTGGTCTCAAACTCCTGATCTCAGGTGATCAACCCACGTCGGCCTCCCAAAGTGCTGGGGCTTCAGGCATGAGACACCTCACCCAGCCTATTATCTTTTTTAAAAAATGAATCGGGGCCAGGCGCGGTGGCTCAAGCCTGTAATCCCAGCACTTTGGGAGGCCGAGGCGGGTGGATCACGAGGTCAAGAGATCGAGACCATCCTGGTCAACATGGTGAAACCCTGTCTCTACTAAAAATACAAAAAATTAGCTGGGCATGATGGTGCGTGCCTGTAATCCCAGCTACTCAGGAGGCTGAGGCAGGAGAATTGCCTGAACCCAGGAGGCGGAGGTTGTGGTGAGCCGAGATCGCGCCATTGCACTCCAGCCTGGGTAACAAGAGTGAAGCTCCGTCTCAAAAAAAAAAAAAAAAAAAAAAATGAACCAATGTGCTAAAGCCCCATCTCTACTAAATTTGAAGAAATTTTGTTGCATTTGAATAAATTTTATTAGCTGGGCATGGTGGTGCACACCTGTAGTCCCAGCTACTAGGGAGGCTGAAGCAGGAACTCCAGGCTTGATCCCAGGAGTTCCAGGCTGCAGTGGGCAATAATTGTGCCATTGCACTCCAGCCTGGGTGACAGAGCACAAGACCTTGACTCAAAAAAAAAAAAAAAAAAAGAAAGAAAGAAAAGAAAAAGAAAAAGAAGAAAAAAGAAATGTTATTACCAGATAGGATTTGGCTGAATCTCCCAGAGTCAAATTTGGGGGTGTCCCGCCCTTGGCATTGTCCTTGACAACTTTATCCCCCTCTTACACTCAATTCCTCAGTAATTGTGTCTGCTGCCTCCAAAATCTATCTGGCATCCTCGGGGTCTGGGCATAACTGGAATCTCCACCATTGTTCCTGTGGCTCAGTGCAGCCCCTCTTCAGCTTCTCTGGCTTCCACCCTCCCATGGAGCCACAAGATACCTTTCATCACCTGAATCAGCGCAAGTCCCTCCTCTGCTTAGAAACTTCTATGGCTCCCACCTCACTCAGAGCAAAAGGGAAGTCCTCTGTGTCACCCACAAGGCCCTTTGGGAACTACTCCTTCAGCTCCTTGTCTCCTATCATTCTCGGCTCCACCCCAGCTCCAGGCACACCGGCATCCGGCATCCGTGCATTTCTTAGAACACGTGGGGCATTTTATCCTCAGGGCCTTTGTGAATGCCATTCCCTCTTCTGGAAATGCTTTTTCTTTCTTTCTTTTTTTTTTTTAAACGGAGTTTCTCTCTTGTTGCTCAGGCTGGCGTGCAATGGCGGGATCTCTGCTCACCGCAACCTCCGCCTTCTGGGTTCAAGGGATTCTCCTGCCTCAGCCTTCTGAGTAGCTGGGATTGCAGGCATGCGTCACCACGCCTGGCTTATTTTATGTCTTTTTAGTAGAGACAGGGTTTCTCCTTGTTGGTCAGGCTGGTCTCTAACACCCGACCTCAGGTGATTCGCCCGCCTCAGCCTCCCAAAGTGCTGGGATTACAGGGGTGAGCCACCGCGCCCGGCTCAGAAATGCCTTTTCTTTTGGTCTTCCCAGGACAGAGGTTTCAGCTCACATCACAAGTCACCAGCGCTACAGAGAGGCCTTCCCTGACCACCATCGCCATCTCGGTGTGGTCACTGGAATTATCTCCATTATTTCGTCACCGAGTTCTTTTCTGTGTTCCCAAGTAGAGCGTCAGTTCCGCGAGGGCACAGATGTTTGTTTGTTCACTACTCTGGGGTGTCGCTCCACCAACACATTTCCCCTGCCTCTTTTCCGAGTGTACCTTCGGCTGCATTCCCTACACATTCCTTTATATGAAAAGAAAAAGTCTGCAAAACTTGGGAGGACAGTCGTGGGCCGCGGGTGTCAGTCTGCAGCCGGTTCTGGTACCAGGGTCCGGGCGGCTGTGGGCGCCCCTGGGCTGCCTGTGGAGCCGCTGGTGTCCAGCCCGTCGCGCTGAGGCGACGAGCGCTCCGAGCGGCTGAAGCTCCCATCCAGGCCCGGGGGCAGGCAGCGGCGCAGGCCCCCGGAAGCCTCAGCCGCGCTCCCGGACTGCCGGGAGCCACCCGGGCCTCGGCCGCAGGGGTGGCGGCCGCAGCAGACGAGGCGTAGGAGCGCGTGACGCAGGTCGCGGTTGGTGAGAGTGTAGATGATGGGGTTCAGAAGTGAGTTGGCCATAGCTAATCCCAGGAAGGGATCTGCCTGCAGGAGCACAGGACAGGCGCGCGCGGGGCACGCCACGTCGAGCAACAGCAGCAGGAAGAGGGGACCCCAACATGCCACAAAGGCCAGGAGCACCACGCTGAGCGTGCGGAGTAGGGCCAGTGAGCGCGGTGTGCGACGCGCCCTGGTCGAGGTGGCGCCAGCAGTTCCGGGCCGGGCCCGCAGGCGCCGAGCGTTAGCGCGCACCTGGCAGTAGATCCGTGCGTAGAGCGCACAGATCGCGCCCAGGATGCCCACGAAGGCCAGCACGCAGAAGAGCACGTAGGCCTTGGCGTAGAGCGGCAGGACAGTGGAGCAGGCGTCCAAGCGACCCAGGCAGTTCCAGCCCAGCGCCGGCAGGAGCCCAAGGAGCAGCGACATGCCCCAGGCCGTGGCTGCCATGGCCAGCGTGCGTCCCCGACTGGCAGCGGGCGCCGGCCCCCTGCGCGCCATGGTGAGGCTACGCTCCAGCGCGATGGCCAGGAGGCTCAGCACGGACGCCGCGAGTGCCACGAAGACGCCTCCCTCCCGCGCGAACCAGAGCGCGGGCGACAGTCGCAGCGTGAGCGGTCCCGACAGCAGGATGTTGGCGGCGTAGGCGGCGCCAGCCAGCAGATCCGATAATGTGAGGCTGCCCAGGAGCAGGAACATGGGCGCGTGGAAGCGTGGGTGGCGTCCGAGCACCAACAGCACAGCCAGATTCTCCAGCACGATGAAGGCGCACACCGCCAGGCACACCACGGCGTCGGCGCGCAGGCCAGCCCCGGGCTGGTAGCGTGCACCGCGAAGCTTGCCGGTGTAGTTGTAATGCAGGACGATGACCTCGCTCACTGGCGCCGGCCGCAGCAGCCCCGACTCCATGGGCCGCGCGCCCCAAGGCTGTGGAGAGGCAGGACACGGTGTCAACCCACCGTCCCCGTGAGCACGGTCGCTTCGGACGGCTAAGCCGTGGGAAAGGGGTCCTACTCCCTGACCATCACCCTCCACACATGGGGCCCAAGGGGAGTTCAGGATGGAGGAATAGAGTCCGTCTGGAGACAGACGGACACAAATAATATCACAAGGGGACAAGGTGACATATAGTCTCGAAAAAAAGGGACATTATAACACACGCATGGCTGGACGCAGTGGCCCACGCCTGTAATCCCAACACTTTGGGAGGCCGAGGTAGGTGGATCACCTAAGGTCAGTTGTTGGAGACCACCCTGGCCAATATGGCAAAACCCCATTGCTACTAAAAACAAAAATTAGCTGGGTGTGTTGGTGCATGTCTGTAATCCCAGCTACTCAGGAGGCTGAGGCAAATCATTTGAGAGGAAGGTTGTAGTGAACTGAGATTGCACCACTGCACTCCAGCCTGGGTGACAGAGCAAGACTCTGTCTCAAAAAACAAATACACACACACACACACACACACACACACACACACACACACACACGGCTGGATGTGGTAGCTTACTCCTGTAATCCCAGCACTTTGGGAGGCAGAGCCTGTGGATTGCTTGAGGCCCAGGAGTTGGAGATTAGCCTGGGCAACATAGGAGGACCCTGTTTCTACAAAAAAAATACAAAAATTGGCTGGGCATGGTGGTGTGCACCTATAGTCCCAACTACTCAGAAGGCTGAGGTGGGCGGTTGGGCCGGGCGCGGTGGCTCACGCCTATAATCCCAGCACTTTGGGAGGCCGAGGCGGGTGGATCACGAGGTCAAGAGATCGAGACCATCCTGGTCAACATGGTGAAACCCCGTCTCTACTAAAAATACAAAAAAAATTAGCTGGGCATGGTGGCACGTGCCTGTAATCCCAGCTACTCAGGAGGCTGAGGCAGGAGAATTGCCTGAACCCAGGAGGCGGAGGTTGCGGTGAGCCGAGATCGCGCCATTGCACTCCAGCCTGGGTAACAAGAGCGAAACTCTGTCTCAAAAAAAAAAAAAAAAAAAGAAGGCTGAGGTGGGAGGACCACTTGAGCCCCAGAGGTCAAGGCTGCAGTGAGCCTTGATTGTGCAACTGTACTCCAGCCAGGGCAACAGAGCAAGACCCTGTCTTTAAAAAATAAAAAATAGGATTATAGGGCATGGAGAGTATAATCCCAGCAATTTGGGAGGCCAAGGTGGGTGGATCGCCTGAGGTCGGGAGTTCCAGACTCGCCTGACCAACATGGAGAAACCCCAGTCTCTACTAAAAATACAAAATTAGCCAGGCATGGTGGTGCATGCCTGTAATCCCAGCTACTCCGGAAGCTGAGGCAGAAGACTCACTTGAACCCAGGAGGCAGAGGTTTCAGTTAGTCAAGATTGCGCCACTGCACTCCAGCCTGGGCAACAGAGTAAGACTCTGTCTCAAAAAACAAACAACAACAATTCAGTCACACGAATACCGGGTCTCCCACCCAGTGGTACAGGCCACAGTTTCACAACTCCACTCACACTAGCCTGGGGCCCACAACACCAAACTCCACACTCTTGTCTCACTGCACACAAAGCTTTCTCGTGCCAAAACCCCTCATCCACCCAAAAACCCCATGAGAAAGTTGCTCCTTGGCCAGGCACAGTGGCTTTCTCCTGTAATCTCAGCACTTTGGGAGGCTGAGCTGGGATGATCACTTGGACCCAGGAGTTTGACACCAGCCTGAGCAACATAATAAGACTCCATCTCTACAAAAAATTTAAAAATTAGCCAGGTGTGGTGACATGTGCCTATATCCCAGCTACTCAAGAGGCTGAGGTGGAACGATCACTTGAACTTGAGAGGTAGACGCTGCAGTGAGCCATGATCGCACCCCTGCACTCCAGCCTGGGCGACAAGAATGAAACTCCGTCTCAAAAAAAGGAAAATTGATCCTATTCATTCATTTTACTAAAGCAGAGCCTGAGGACAGGAGAGAGAATTGGCAAGGGGCAGACAGGCTCTTGCAGAGGGGCACACGTGTCATTAAAGTATAATAACATTCCTCGGGCCGGGCGCGGTGGCTCAAGCCTGTAATCCCAGCACTTT